CAAGTCAATATTCTGTGAACCTCTTTCCATTCATGTCTATTTATGGGTACCATACCTACCCCCTCCACCACTCCCCACCCGCCAGCTTTTTGCACAGAATCACTTAGTGCAAAGGTAAATAAATATCAAACCAGAATTTTTTTTAAAATAATGAAACTCAGTGAAGCTTTTAAAACAATATCCTTTAAAGTAATTTAGTCAAGATCACTCTTTTACAGGGGAGGTTTCAGTCACTCAAGTGCTATTTCAGATTCTTTGTTTGTCCCAAACTGCAAATTACTTTTTTAATTGTTCATGGAGTGTAAATAAAATGATAATCTTTTCCCACCAGATGTGCTGGATAGGCATGAGGGCACAGTCATTTTTCTAACCAATATTTTCATCAAGAACCTATTCAGACTCTTAGAATTACTTCCTACTTCCAGCTTAATTGAACTGTGAAACATTGCCAGTGACAGGTTTGTGTCCTTAAGTGCTCTTAGCGGCCTGGGGACTAGAATGTTTGGAGTATTACAACGAACCTTAAATTGTGACTTGATCTTGTGTTGAAAGACAGAAACTACATTTACATTTTGTAACCAGGGGCTTCTGATTTACACTTTTGAGTAAGAGTCTGGATAGATGTGTTGATGTCCCGATAGTATAGTACTTTACCAGACTTTTTCTGTTCAAATGCCTACAGTGCTATAATTTCTACAGGAACAGTTACTTAGAAATTGTGCAAGTGGAGTTTGGAGATAGCTTTCTTTTTTTCTTTATTTTCTCCTCCTACTCTATGGAATATAGAGTAAAACATTTACAATATAATTTACAATATAAAGAAATTTTAAAAAAATTACAAAAAAATTACAATATAAAGAAATTAAAAAAAAAAACAGTGGAAAATCACAGTGTTTGTGTCTTCTGTAGGAGCGAATAGGAGATTATGTTGCATAATGGGATAATGACTTGTAATGTACTGGGGTCTGGAGTCTTTTAGGAGTGTGCCTTTCTTTGTTCTTCTGGGAACACATATTTCTTATGTGTAAAATGAGAGGGATTCAGATGATCTCTGAGATCCTCACCATTCCTAAAATGATAGGAGTCTGTGAAAGCTGATATAATGGAATTCTTGTAATGTCTCCTCTGATGGTAAATAGACACCTGCATGAAAAATTGCCTAAAACAATGAATGTTAAATACATTTATCCATCTACCTTGGGTCCTAGACTTAGCACCAATGTGACCTGAACTGAAGTTTTCAGAGAACTCCTCAGAAAAGCCCCTAAAAGATGCGATACGGCATCTAAGGGCTTCTTAATTTGAGATCTTTGTCAAAAAGGAGAGACATGAGTTCCTTACCAACGTCATTATTGACAAGAACAAGGTAATCTTACTGTAAATGCTGGGTCCTAATGAAAGGGAACCGTTAATCAAATGAAATCTTTCCTGTTTCCTGCTAAAAGAGTCACAGGTCTGGTGCAGTAAATAATGCAAAGTAAATGTAAACAGCAAGTTTTGCCTCTCTAAAGCCTACCTAGATGAGATTACCTAAAGGAGGTTACCTTTTAACAAGGCCAGACAGCCGCCAGGCTGATTGATCTCCCAGGGCATCCTTGAATACATGTCTTTTGTCACAAACTTTTGTGCTTACTGATCGATGCTATCCATGTAGGATGGTTATGTATAAAAGAAACCCTTTGTCCCCAGATTGGTGCTCAGACCTTATGGTACTACCCAGGTCTGGAACCTCATGCATGAGTAATAAAGCTTTCCTGACCTCACCATTCCTGAAGTACCGCTAGTTCTTTCCCTGTCTGGGTAAAAAACTAGAATTTATTTTTGCAACACTGCTGCCTGTCACTACAGATGCCAATGAACAGACAGGAATTCAATCTATAAAAATCGCTTTTATATAGATAGCTGGTCAGTGATCTGAGAATGGTGGTCATATCACCTTGAAGAAACTGGTTTAACATTTCAACTCTAGCTGGCTGTTTTATAGTGAGTTAAAAAAAATTAGTCATAATGTAATAGGATGGTCTCCAGGAAAGGGGGAGGTTACAGGTTTCCTGCCCCACCTAAACGGAGGGTAGAACTGAGCAGAGAGAGAAGCAGCTACGTAGGAGACTGAGGAAGAAAGGAAGCAGGATGGAGAGCCAGAAGGAGACCTGGAGGAGGCACATGGAGCCGAGAGACATGTGAAGAAACTACACCTGCCCTTTGGTCGTGGACTGGGTGACACAGATGTGGGTGAGAGACCGGTGGGGAGGTGACAATGTCAGTTTTTGTCTTGATTTTGTTTTTGCTCTTTTCCTTCCAGACTTGTCTGGTTGTTTCTGATCCTTTTCTGTGGGTTCCTGCTGAAAGATGGTTTAGACTTGTGACAGGCTTTGGGGCCTTGCTCTGGGCCAATCCTGCTCGGGTGGACTTTTACCCACAGGGGACGGGTAACTTTGGGTGCTTGATTTAGAAACTATATTCTTTGTCTTTCCCGTATTGTTTCCTAATTATATTAAAGTTCCTTCTCATTAAAGTCTCATATGTTTTGTGTTGATGCGGTGGATGGCAGAACCTATTTAGAGCAGGCAGTTTTGCGGGTCTGGGCTTCCCCTCTCACTTCCCTGTAACAATAAGTGAGTCAGTTTTTCAGAACAACCATTCACTGCTGATGTTAACAGTATTAATGACCTTCAGTCCCCAGAGTTTGTTCTCAGCCTACTGGTTATCTTGACCTTGGTATATTCTGGCCTGCTGAGCTTGGTTCATTTCTCATGGCATCAATGTCCAGCACTCATTTGGATATCATGGGGGCAGATATCTCTGTTCAAAGCAAGAATTTTAGTTTAAAGAAAACAGATCATTAGTCATATAGTGTGTACATGTAGCCTCTGCTATGGGTGTACTTGCAGATTCCTGTATTAGGTCTGGTGCCCTTCCCCTCCTCCCAGCCCCCGTCAGTAATTAAAAGACATGTGCTTTCCAGAGACTGAGGTTAAACCTAAGAGAAATAGGGCTTACGGATAGAAAGGGGAGGGATAGCACCAATAATTATTTAGCATCTTTTATATTCTAAGTTCTTAGATAATAGTAACTAATTATGATTAGGCAATCATTTTACTAAATGATTTATGTGGATTATTTAATTTCATTTACCACGACATAGCTATAAAGGAAATGCTATTATTTTCTCCAATTGGAAGAAATGATACTGTAAGAACTGATACTGTGTACTGAATAAAAGATATTATAAGCTTAAGTGACTTCATTATATTTAAAATGAAGATATCCGATCCAATGTTCTTAACCACTGGGTCAGCTTACTTGTGATAGCTTAATTATTTCCCATAAAGACTCTTTCTGGGGTAGATGTCTTTATCCCCCTTTTTAAAATTAGAAAAATGAGACTCAAAGAATTTAGGTAGCTTAACTTCTGTTATTTTCTCATTTAACTTATTCTATTGTGTTTTTAAAATGGTGACATATATTTTTTAATATTTTATTTTATATAATTCTTACCTTATTTTTCATTTTTGCACAATGTATGCATTTTCATTTTGGTTATATTCCCCATGCAATTGCACCCCCCTTGTTTTGGCCCTAATGGTGATATTGATCAATAAATACATTTCCATCCTCATTAATAAGTAGTAATCCACTACTAGAAGCATAGTATGCTAGTTTATATCTGTCAGTTTCATTAACTAGAGGGCAAATTTGTATTACTAAATGCAGGAAGAAATTTTGCCTCTAACTCAACATGCCTAAGGTCCTCACCTTAGGGTCTTTGTGCTTGTTCCCTGTAACTGGAATACTATTCTCAGATCTACCCGCTTAACTCCTGTTCCTTAGATCATTAATGAAAAGTAACCTCAAGAGCTACTTGAGGCTTTTCTTAACAGCTTATGTAACTTTGGAATCTCACCAAAACTCTCTATATCTCTTCCTCCTTTATTTTTCTATACAATACTATATACTATGCTACCTATGCTTTATAGTTTAGTATTTCTCTATAGTATAGTATAATCATCTAATCTTCTAAATGACTTTAGTAATTTGTACTTCATGTATTGCTTGTCTCTCTCCATTAAGATATTAACTGCACAAAGCCAGGGGTTTTTGTTTATGTTATTCATCTTTGTAACCCCAGTGTCTAGAACAGAGCCTGGCACATTGTAGGTGCTTAATATGTATTTGTTGAGTAAATAAATAATTGGTTGACTGAATAAAATAATCTGGGATTTAAAAAGACAGTCCAGAAGAGAAATGTAATTCTAAACTTTATTTCTGTTAAATGTAATTCCAAACTTCATTTCTGTTCCTCCGAGTACTTTAAAGAGGGTTTGATTTGTTACCTTCATCTGCATTTATTTTTAATTTTTTTTAATATTGGATTACAACTATATATAGGTTTCAAGTGTAGAGCATTGCAGTTTGATATATGTATATATTACATTATGATCTCTTCCAGTCTAGTTTCCTTCCACCAGTATACAAATGACATTTTTGCCTGTTTTACTTGTCCACTACCCCTACCCCAATCACCTTTCCTCTCTGGTAAATACCATCCTTTTAGCAGAATCTAAGGGTTTGTTTTTGTTTTGTTTCATTTTTTTGCTACTTATTTTAAATCCCTTGTCTTCTTCCACCTCTCCCACTCCTCAGCAGCTAAGCTGAGCCTTTTTTTCTCCTAACTCCTATTCTCAATGGTTTTTGCAAAATTCTTCTGCAATGCCCATATACATGGGCTTTTGTCCTTCAGTCCTCCGTCCCTTCCTGCATCATTTCTATACCAATGGTGCCCAAAGATTCCTTTGTCCTCACCCTCTTTGTGGCCCCCAAGATTATGTGAACACTCTCTGCCCCACTATATCTTTCCCTTCTTGTGATGTCATGATTGGAATGCTAACACTTTGAGTATCAGTAAATAAGGGAAAATATGTTATTTTGGAAAAAATGTTCTATTTAAAAATATTGCATATAAAGATGATTGTTAATCATCAGCTTTTCCTTATTTACAGGAACACAACTATTAGAGAAAACTGGAAGTTTTATGGGAGCCTATTGAAGACTCATATTAACGACATCACAGGAAGGGATGACAGGTACATTTCCTAATCAATTATTAGATTGACATCAGTCACATAGGCACTCAATTTTGAGAGCCCAGTATAATATAGCCATGTTCTTACAAATTTGATTTGCAGTTAAAAAACATTATTAAATTTTTTGCAGTAGAGACCATCTATATCAATTAAAGTCACCAACCTTCCTATCTTTGTGTTCCACCTGATTTTCACCATTTTGTGAGAATAGAGAAAATGGTTTATTTCTTCCATCAGCAGATCCCCCTTCTTACAATTAGTATGCTTTATATAAATATTATGGGTTTTTTGTGGCAAATGTAGTATTAGATATTTTCTTGGCTTTTTAATGATTAAGTTCAGTCTCCAAATTGGTCTTGGATTAAGTGTGTGCAGCTATATAAAATATAACTTTGGTGGTACCTATTCCTTTGGAATAGGAAAAGACATCTTCAATATTATCAGTTTAAATAACATGTTTAAAAAAGCTTATTATTTCTGGAAAATGAAACAGTTAACAATTAGATGGTTCAGATTTTTCTCCTGACAGTATTCTAGGCATGAAATTTCTTCTGTGATAAGACATGGACTGAGGCTTGGCTATGCATTAGTGAGTGTAAGCATACACTGCATGGGAGCAAAAGACACTCCTCCCACCACTTACCCTTCCCCCCAAAGTCAACAAAAGATGCTGTTGATGCCTCACATAAATCCCTTTATTGGAGAGGTAAAACCATGTTCCAGTTGCTGTGAGTGTTTTCCAATGAAGAACCCAGTCCTCTTTCTTCCAGGTGCAAAACATTGTGCAAAACATTTCTTCCAGCTTTCATATCCTGTAGCTCTGATCGTGCTTTTCTTCTCCCTCTGGATCACCTTCACTTCCTTCTTCAGCAAGTCTCATACAAGTATCACCGACTGATGCTCTGATTCTAGGGACTCTAACCCTGGATAGCAATTCTTTTTAACTTTTTTTTTTTTTTTAACCTTATCCAGTCTTACCTCATTGTCCCAAGGATCAGATCACACTGCGAATGAGAAAATTTCCTGTTTTCTTTCTGCTCTTTTGAAATCCAAAGAAGTGGAAACTCATCCTGAGAAGTTTATTTTATGTTTTGGTCTCAATTCAGGACAAATCAATCATTCTTCTTATAGAATTGTTGTTCTCAATCTTTAACTTCCATCAGTTAATTCGAAACATTTTTCCTATTCTAACATTCTCCTTCCAATTTCGTCATCGGTACTTTCTAGGCTGGGGGTGTAGAGTATCAGGAATACCTAGTAGGACTGAACCAGTCCAATTTTAATCCCTAGGAAGTGAATGGCAGGGAACTTGAGGCTGCCACAAAAATCTATTTCTGAGAAATCCGTGTTTATGCCCCATGTTGCAAAAGAGAAATTAATCCAGAGTGATTCAGTTCCTCCTTCCAAATCTTGAACAAATATGTTGGCAGAACACTAATTACATATAGAATACTGATAACAGATGAGTTGGGGAATTCAGTTCCTAGGCTTTCAGCTGTGATACAGGGGAGAGTCTAGTAGAGAATGGAGAGACAGTGGCTTGGAGGACTTGGAGAGAAGGGAATGCTAGTTGCAAAAGAAAACAATATTCAATAAAACCTATTCAGTACATTGTACCAAGTGTAAATTCATCTGCTTCCAGGATCTTGAATGAGGGAATTGTTTGGCATGTCAAATATATACCTAATTTAAGTTGGCATTAATATTTGATATTAGTTCTAACTTAATGAAAATATCAAAATATAAATAAAAACAAGCCCAAGGTTAGTTTAAGGTATAAAACTAATTTTTCATAAAGAAAGGAAAATTATATACTTTTATAAGGTATTATATGTTTATAAAAAAGATGCATATTTTTAAAATATTGGAGAAATAGATGACTGAGATTGATTTTGAATTTGACTCACAGAAAGAAATTTATAAGAAAAAGAAAGTTTATTTGTCAGAGCTATATGTTTAGATGTGAATGGAGATGAGGTAGGGCTCCTAGAAATGTGAATTCTGAAAACACACAAAACTAAACAACAAATTAGCAAAAGTGAGAAACATAAAACAGAAATTCTTGTTTTATTTTTAATGAATTATGAGTATATTTTGAATTTGATACATTTCAGCAAGAGAAGAAAATTAAATCTTTCATTTAACAAATGTTCACTAAGTAATAATTTTTACTATCTATATTGTATCTTAATGATATCACCCAAAATGTAGTTTATTTCATGGCATCCTATTATCATCAGTTTCAAATGTCCTTGGTCTCTTTTGACTATTAAACAATATATTCAACTATGTGGGTGCAAATATTTCAAAGTCCAGGTCACTGAACATAATTGTTCTTGATATGACTCTTCAGCTGGCTATTTTGTTCTGATTGTTGTTATGTTTTTACTTGTTCAAAGCATATGTGTATTTTTATTTTAAAAAATACTGTGTAGATACCTTACAAATGTTTTTAGTAATCTATATTTCAAAGTGAGTATATGAAAAGACCTTTTGAAGCAATTTTTGATAACATAAAAAGCTTTAATCTGCTCATACTTCCTATTCCACTAGTTTCATTTATGGACATTCATCCCAGAAAATAATTCTAAAATACAAAATAAGTTTTACACTAATACATGCACTGTTACATTATGTGTATAATAGTGATGAACTGGATACACCAATTATTCAATGTGTACCTAAAAATACATGAAACAATTTTGAATAAAGAAGAAATAGCAGTCATTATATCTCAACAGAACAATTGAATCCTGTTAGGGAATCATCTGAGAAAAGCTTTTATTTGTTTGTTAATAATGAAGTAACATTGCATTATAACATTATGTAAATTTCAGCTGTATGTCATTGAGAAGCAGCATGTGTACATACTACATTAAGTTCACTGCTATTGGTTCAAAGCTATCCTTTACCATACCATTTCCCCTTTTTTCAGTTTACCTATCTTTATCCCTTCCCTTCTGTTAAGAGGAATTGGTTTTATAGTCCAAAAGTTTATTTTTGTGTTACTTAGTTTACCTGCTTGTTTTTTACCAAATGTGAGTGAAATCATATGGCATTTGTCTTTCTCTGTTTAGCTTATTTCATTTGGCTTAGGGCCCTTTGGATGATTATGTTACTGCAACTGGAAGGGGTTCATATTTTTTTTTTTCACAGCTAAATAGTTTTCCATGTGTTCGTTCATGTGTGTGTGTGTGTGTACACATCTTCTTTATCCAGTCATCAATTGATGGACACTTAGGTTGTTTCCAGTTCTTGGCTATTACAAATAGTGCTTCCAGGAATATTTGGGGGCCTCCCTGGTAGTGCAAGGGGTTAAGCACCGTACTATGAAGCAATCCGCGGCCTCTGCAGCACGAGTTTGATCACATGCTGGCCAGGGAGCAACCCACATGGCACAGCAGACCTCTTTTGACTCTCCTGCTGTTCCCCTCGGCAGTGTACTTCAGTCTGCCTGTTCTGTTCCCCACTGTCTCTAGTGACTCCTCTCATCCCCCGCATCTCTGGCCTGTACTGCAGCTCTTGTATGCATAAATAAATCTTTTTTAAAAAAAGAATATTGGGGTTGCATACATATCTTCAAATTAGTGTTTTTGTATTTTTCAGGTAAATATACAAAAGTGGGATAACATAGAAATTCTATTTTTAATTTTTGTAGTATTCCCATACTGCATTACATAATAGCTGCACCAATTTACTTTCCCACCAGTAGTGTATAAAGGTCCCATTCTCTATACTTCCTTTCCAACACTTACTATTTCTTGTTTTTTGTCTGATTACTTTTCTCAGGAGTGTAACGTGATAGTTCATTGTTTTGATTTGTAGTTCTCTGATAATAAAAGTTAATGATAGTATCTTTATGTGCTTATTGATGATTTGTGTGTTTTCTTTGGAGAAGTATGGTTAGATATTCTGCTTATTTTTAGATAGGGTTATTTGTTATTTTATTGTTCAGCTTTATGAATTTTTTATATTTAGGAGATTAACCCCTTGTCATACATACAATGTGCAAATATCTTCTATTTAGTAGGATTTCTTTTTCTTTGACTGCAAGTTTCTTTTCACTGTGCAGAAACTTTTTAATTAGATGCATTCCCAATTTGTTTTGGTTTGGTTTTTGCTTTTGTTTCCCTTGTCACTGGAGTTCAGTCCCCAAACATATCTCTTTGTCTTCTTGTTTTGGAAAACACAAACATCAATACTTCTGTAATGTCTACATGAAAATTCTTATGCAAGAGATAAAGTATCATAATTTTGGAATAGAAAAAAATTAATATTTTGAACTGTAGTCAGCACATAAGAAATTTTGTTGAAAAACTACTTGTTTTATACTCTATATCAAAGTTAATTTCCAAGGGATTAAAGATTTAGCATGAGATTAAAAAATAGGAAATACTAAATGAATGTATGTCTGATCTTGGCATGGAAAAAGCATTCATAAGCATAAAACAATGAAAATATCAGAATAAAACAATAGTTGGAAATAAAAATCTCTTCTATATTTAACATATATAGTGTATATTGATGCTATGATATGTGTATTTATCATAAATAATATAGACAAAGAATAGATGTCCTTAATGTGACTAAATTAGAAATTGCAGGAGAAAAATGAGTAAATTAAAAAGAAAATAGATCTGAGGAGAATTTTAACTTCAGTAGTAATATAGATAAGCAAATTAAGAAGATAACATGCTTTATTTAGCAAATAAAATCACTAAGATTTTAGTATTGGCAAAGGTATAATGACTTGTACATTGTCATCTAAGAAGTATGATTTGGAACGCATATTTTATTTATAGGGACTCTATCCCTAGTAACCTGTGTAGTTCTTGGTATAATTCAGCTCAATATGAATTTGTTAAATAAATGAACTTTCATATAAACCTCTTTAGGAAAAATATAAAGAGCCTTGAAGTTTAATAGGATTTTCTGTTATTTACAATTTTTATTTTTTTAAAGATTTATTTTTGCATATAAGGGAGTGTACCTTGATGAAG